ATATTTAGCACTAGATGTTAGATGTTAGATGTTAGCAAGGCTTTGGATGTTACAAAAGAATTTATATGATTTGTAGAAAATAAAAATCACTATTTTTTGTGTTAAACTTTATTTGTTCAGCGAATTTATTTGAATTTTAAAATAATGCACTTGGCAGTACCAAGTTGGTATTGAAAATAATTTCACTATGCAAATATTCGATTGTCTGCAACAGCAATATAACGTATTATTCTCGTTCAAGTTTATCTCCAATTGTAATCCGTTTAATGAGATAGATTTATTGAGCGTTCGTTTATTCCCATAAATCTGAGGGATTTTGCAATCTACAATTGACGGATTGTGATTCGTTTTAGGCAACACAATTGCCATACGAACACTTTTATTGGCGCGTCAATTATTTTAATAAGATAACAACGAAAAAACAATTTCGCGGTGTGGCTGAATGAATAGTTGCGAGTGTTCAAAGCCTACTGAATCAGTTATTATCATGTCATTCTGTCGAGTTAATCGCACTTAGGTTAGTTGATCGTTTACAGTTGGTCGTGTGACACTGGCAACAAACACATTTGCCAAGCAAAATGCTTCGAACGGTGTACATTTCAGTGATTTTCGTTTTAGTCGCTGTCGATGGATTTGGTTGGTAGATTTCCTATTGACTAAATAAATTTTTTCTGTATTTGAATTAGATTCTAATTACGAATGGTTGATTTTAAATTTTTGTTTTGTGCATACAAGTTCATGTTGTTTTAATTTTAAATACCCTTTTTCAGAAGTCCATATGACCAAAGATATAACAATACACTACGCCGAAGGTGATCGATGTGGATTCAATCGAATTTATACGTATTGCGGTAATCTATGCAATACCACTTGTGTCACATTTAATTATTTTTGCGAACCCGAGTGTTATCGCGGATGTTTGTGTGCATCGAATTATGCCGAAGCAAAAATAGTCGGAGGAGCGTGTGTTCCCGTGTTCTCACCACTTTGTAAATGGGATCGAATTAGACGGTTTTGAGCTGACTCTTTTTTAACGCGTGTTTTTTTCTTTAATTTTTAATAAATGCTCTGCAAATGTAGTTCCATCTTTACTATGTCAATCTATTTCACTATCGTATTCAAATAAAGCACTGAACTTGTTTTTTATTTAAGTAACTGGTTCTGTTTGATTTGATTTTTGAACTCAAGCATCGTCGGATTTTAATGTAGTATTTTTCCATAGTTATTCATAAATTCTCTGTGCATACAAATTTTGTCATAAACACTTTTAATTTCGTAGACATTTTCAATTAAAACACTTGTTTTGAATTTGAAAAATAGACTTTTGTTTGATTTGCATTTGCAAATGGTTTAATATTTAGCTGAGAAATCTATTTCAATTACGTCAATGAGGGTAGTGATGGCTTCGAACGTTCGTTCGACAATTTAAAAAAAATATTTTTTATTCGTTCGTTCGTTCGACAATTTGAAAAAATATTTTTTTGTTCATTCGTTTGTTCGACATTCATTTTGTTCGATGTTCGGTCCGATTTTTTTTATTTCAAAACCTCCCGAATAAAATTGGTATTACTATGAAAAATTATAATAAAAGCTAATAAAAGCATGAGCTGTAACAATTACATTATAAATTTGATCAATACATCGAATTTTCTAATGTAAAATTTTTTTGTTCGGACCGAACATCGAACAAAATGAATGTCGAACGAACGAACAAAAAAATATTTTTTGAAATTGTCGAACGAACGAAGGAACAAAACCTTTTTTTAAAACCATGTCGAACGAACGAACAAGCGTTCGAAAGTGTTTGATGGCCAACACTAAATGAGGGTGACAACAAACATCTTTGAATAATCAGTAAGAAAAACTATAATTTGAATTTTTCATTATCTGAGGATAAAAGGGGTGAATTAAGCATTCGCGATATTCATTAAAATCAATTAAATCATTCGTTTTGTAAACAGATCTTTTATATGTTTTAATATTCCAAAACAAGTGTGCATACCTTACCATCTATTTTGTGTTGCAAATCAATCAAAAGTAAACATGATCGCCATGTCTATTTTGAAGAAATAGAAATTTTGTGTTAATGAAATGTTTATATGATTGAGAAGTTAACACTCCTGTGCTTTCATCTAAAACAAACGATCTAATTTTAATAAATAAATACGCGACCATTAATGATTGGTCTCAAATTTGTTCTTCTTCCATTCAAATTCTCTATTCACACTTTCAAGCGATTCTTGAATTAACGTCATTTGAAAAGAATCTTGTGATCAAATAGGAAAACTAATGCAAATGAAAATGGTGTGAACGACGCAAAATGAGAGAATGAGTCATCAAAAACAACCATGTGAAGAACATTTTTATATTCTAATAGTAAACATTTGTTAAAGGATCTATTTTAGGCATTACCAAAAGTGGCGTTTTATCTGTGATAATATGGTATCCAAGTGACAATGAAGTTATTCTTATCCTTTTGGATTCTTCAGAAAACCCCAATTGAGTGTAAGTATCTATCTGAAGAAGAATATTTTTGTCTGTAATTGTTGATAATAATTCTAACCATTCAGCCAAAATATCATTCGATGACGTACATGTTCAAACCGAATATTTAACGTTTGATTTGGTCATTTCTGCCTGCTTTACGAGTATCACCATTGTGTTTGCATAGAACAAGCTTCGATAAGGCGATAGAAATATGAAGTGAATGAGCGTGAACGCTTCAAACTACAAATAATATTCACGAAACGCAACAAATATATTCATTGTCTTGGACCAAGCCATGTTGGTTGACAAATGAACAATGTATACAATTGTTATCCAAAAAGAAGAAGAACTCGATAGCAAACAAGGAAAATATGTATTCGTATTCAATGTATGTTTAAATTTTTGCTGCTTTGTTTTAACATGTATCTATTAGATCTAATATTATCGAATTAATAATAAAATATTTAATTTTTGCCAAAAATGAAAGTTCTTGTTCCATCGAAAATTCCGTTAATATCTAATTTCAATGAATATACGGCGCTACGCATAAAATATTTCAGTCTAACGGCATCCGACGATTTGGATAGACCAAAAAATTCGCGCATGACTCAGTTTTGAATTTGCATGATTCAAAACAGCAAGACATACGAAAAACACAAGGCATTTGCAAAAAAATAAAATGCAGAAAAAAAGTCACACGTGATTTAGTATTGAATTTCTCACGTAGTTTAATATCGATATTACGTAGTTCATTGTTCAAACCTTAAAACAGAAGATCAATAATCAATATTAAAATAATCGCAATTTTTTTCCCGCTCATCGAAGCAAAGTGAAAACACGTTACTCTGAGTCGATTCTGAATTTTGATCGATCATATTATATGCATCATCGTTGCTAATCTGATATACTTAGCTTGTGGTGCATTTCATCATTAGCATTTTAGTTAATCTCATTTCTTAGAAATGCTTGAAACAAAAAGGTGAAATGTTGACATATGCTAAAATCAATGGCATGGACGAATGAGTATTTGTGAAAAACAATTGTCAATCGATCCATAAAATTCGATTAGCAAATGATAATTTCAAATTTCGCCCAGCAAATTTTCAAGTTTACGGCTCAAGTGGTGTATTGTTTGTTATGTGACTTCAAGATCGTGATCTGAAGCAATACAAGAAGATACATTTGCGCAATTGTCAAGTTCAATTTATGCAAGTGAATAAATAGACAACTAATAGTCCGGGTACACAAAAAAAATCAATAAACTGTGTCAAAAAATTTCAGCATTGTTTTAAACTGATGTGTACATATTTGCAAATGGTGTAGATTTTGCTACATTTAATTATAAAAATAAACACTTTTGGAAACTATAACACTGTGGCTGAGCCTCAGTGTGTCTTCAGTACGGTTTGAATTCCGTCGCATATACGTGGTCAAACGGAACATTTCGACGGTGCAATATTCAAAAGGGTGTTATTTGTGATAAAGATTTTGAAAGTTGTGCTCATTTATTGTGAGATTTGGTTGAATTGATAAAAACAAAACTACTCAACTCATTCATCATGGTAACGGCTCCGCCTTCAGCACGCATTGATCCCGTCACACAATGTCTTGGAAATTTCGGAAAATGGCAACTCAGTGCTATGCTCATTATTTTTCTATGTAAAGTTCCTACAAGTTGGTTCATGGCAATCGTACTTTTCTCCGCTTCGTCGCCAAATCCAGGTATTTTTTTTATTTTTTTCCACAATTTTTTTCTTTCAGTAACAACGATTTATTGCCATCCATAATCATCGAACAGGAGATTTTTGGTGTACACCACCAGCAAATTTAACAGCAGAATTTGAAAAAGATTGGATTGCCAGAGCACATGCAATTAAAATGGATCATCATAATCATCCGAAAATTAACTATTGTGAAGTGTATACGGAGTATTGGGAAAATCCACTGAAATACTTCGGACCAAATCATACGACAATCGATACGAAACATTTACCAACGAGAAAATGTACAAACTATACATTTAATCCGAAATTTCATTCATTGGTGGCCGATTTTGGTCTAATTTGTGGTCGCGAACTGTTGGTGCCATTAAGTCAATGCTTTCATATATTTGGTCTGCTGGTTGGGGGCATTATTGCCTATTTCATGCTGAAACAGTGAGTGTGTTGTGCTTTTAGGTGTCTTTTCCTTCGAATCTTCAAAAAAGATTCCGTGAGAATGATATATGTTTGTGAATTCCAGCATAAGCCCCAGAAATGTAATGATAATGGGAATATCAGCGCAAATAATTTTCGGAAATTTGCTCGGTTTTATCCGAACATACGAGGCTCATGTGATTTTCCGTTGGCTCACCGCTGCTTCATGTGCCTTAATGTACACATCTGGATCAATGATATTTGTTGACATAACCAATGGTGCGGCGAAGACAATTACCTCACTGGTTTTCGAATTCTTTTGGTCAATTGGTTTGTACTATCCTCATGTAGTTTAATTGTAATATTCCGAATTTGTATTCTCACCATTCTCATCTATTTATAGGTTTAATCTTGTTGCCCATATTCAATGTATTCATTGAAGACTGGTGGAAATTGTACTACGCCATTTCGATGCCGACGATTTTTTTGATTTTTCTTATCAAGTTTGCTATTTTCACTTACAATGCGTACAATTCAATACAAAACATGTCTATTGACAACACATATTTATCTTATGAATAGACACCTCCCAGATAGTCCACGGTGGATGCTACGTCATGGTCATATCGATGAAGCTCGACAAATCCTAACCGAAGGTGGAAATAAAAATAAACGACGTGTGCCAATCAATTTGGAAGAGTTGCTAAAAACCGATTACAACTCTGGGTAAGTAAACTAAACCCAGTGATCTAAACTGGTAAAGTTTTTCAATTTCCATGCATTAAATTTACTTTTTCAGAGCGGCAGATCCACCTCAAGCCAGTTGGTGTTCAATTTGGGATGGGCAACCGTCAAAAATTTACATATTAGCTGTTCATTTTGCGTGGTCGATTTATATTTTGAACTTCAACTGTGTGATTTTAAACATTCGTGCCTATGGCAGAGATCATCTATCGGTGAATACGGTTGCAATAGGACTTAGCGAAATTGTGGGTGTTTTTATTGGGATTTACATCGTTCTGTACACATGTATGTATTCAGACTAACCTAACAAATATTTGCATGAAACTCAGTCGAAATTTTTCTTTCAAAAGCACGAAGATGGCTATGGGCGGGTGCTTGTGGTGTAGGCTCCGGTTGCTTGGGCTTCTTAGCTTGGTACATTCCAAAAACTTGTAAGTGAATTAGAGCAAGATAAACTCATTACAATTTTCGATTGAACTAAACCGTTTATTTTGATCGTATCTTGTTATTTTTCTTGGATATTTGTCACAGTGAAAGCGTCGCATTTGGTTGCTTTGGAGATGGCACCAACGTTAGCAATCAAAACGGCCACGTCGATCGGTATGTGCGTGTTAACGGTGTGCACAGTTGAATTAGTGTGTGCCGAACGGAAGAAGATTCTAATGTTCTCGTCGACTGTTTGGGCTCGTGCATGGTTTGTGTGGGCACCTTTCATCTATGTACTTAGAATATATGATGTGGTTCTACCGCTAATCGTATTTGCCACGTTAAGTGTTGTCGGTGGCATATTGATGGTTATCATTCATCAAAATCAATACAGTGTCTATTTGAAAGATTGTGAAGCTCGCGTTCAAGCCATGAGAGCGGTTAGATCAATATCGAATGCCGGATTGGATTGGATTAAAAGAAGAAGTTCTGTGTTTGACGTTGAGGAGGTTCGTCGAAAATCTACGGTCTTCGAAGCAGAAGAATCTCGAAGGAAGTCGCTGTATGCTCAAGACCCAGCCGCCCAACTATTGTGATTTTTCTCTATTTTTCAACGCTAATTTTTAACTAGATGATTGGCTAAATCGTTCCTTCCAAATCTTCAAAGTATTTATTTATCAACAGCTGCCGGAAAAGCATAGATTACACAAATGGACCGGCAATATTATTAAACACTAACTTATTTTTATAATAAAGCCAATAAATTCACGAATTGAATCAATTTTCTTGTGTAAAACTTCATTTATTCATTTGATTTTTTTTTCTTCATCTTTTCCCTCGAAACAATGCAGTTCTTAATCTTTGTTATTTGCTACTAAAAATAATTTCGCAATGTAAATATTCGATTGTCTGCAGTTAAAGTGTTATTCTCGTTCAAGTTTATCTCCGACTGTAATCCATTCAACAAGGCAGATTTATTAAGCGTTCGTATTTCATAAATCTAAGGAAGTTTGCAATCTACAGACATTTATATTAGCTATAAGGTCCAACGTCACTGACAGGCCAAACACAATACTCTTTATTCCTACTGTTCTGCTGGATTTACAGATTGCGATTCGTTTTAGGCAACACAATTGCCATACAAACACTTTTATTGGCGCGTCAATTATTTTAATAAGATAACAAAACAAAAACAATTCTGCGGTGTGGCTGAATGAATAGTTGCGAGAATCCACTGCCTACTCAATTAGTTATTATCACGTCATTTTGTCAAGTTAATCGCACTCAGGTTAGTTGATCGTTTACAGTTGGTCGTGTCACTAGCAACAAATACATTTACCAAGCAAAATGCTTCGAACGGTGTACATTTCAGTGATTTTCATTTTAGCCGTCGTCAATGGATTCGGTTGGTAGATTTTCTATTGAGCTATGTATTTATTTGTATTCAAATTGAACCTCAATTACGAATGGTTGATATTTATTTTTTTGTTCTCGTTGTTCATAGTATGAATTGTCAAAGTGCATACAAGTTCTTGTTGTTTTAATTTCAAATACCCTTTTTCAGAAGTCCATATGACCAAAGACATAACAATACACTACGCCGAAGGTGATCGATGTGGATTCAATCGAATTTATACGTATTGCGGTAATCTATGCAATACCACCTGTGTCACATTTAACTATTTCTGCGAACCCGAGTGTTATCGTGGATGTTTATGTGCACCGAATTATGCCGAAGCGAAAATAATCGGAGGAGCGTGTGTTCCCGTGTTCTCACCACTTTGTAAATGGGATCGAATTAGACGATGTTGACTCAATTTTTAACCCGTGATTTTTTCCTTTAATTTTTAATAAATGCTCTGCAAATGTAGTTCCATCTTTACAATGTCAATCTATTTCACTATCGTATTCAAATAAAGCATTGAACTTGTTTTTTATTTAAGTAACTGGTTTTGTTTGATTTGATTTTTGAACTCAAACATCGTCGGATTGATGCTTCGTGGCTACACAAAATGTGCAAATACTCCTTTTCCGAGGAATTTGGCTGTACGATGTGTTCGTATTCATTTGAGCTGCATAAAGACACGGTTTGTTAGGCTGACCTGAAGAAATATACAGAAAATTTACCAATTTGTTCATTTGAAAACGAAGAATTTTGTTCAATGAGTCTTCTTTATTTTCTTTTTAAGAAAGGCATTGGAGAGGGCCATGCAAATAAAATGAAGAGGATCTATTTCATAAACTAAGTTGTAATAAATGAACGACTCACCCGTGATTAGCATTGCAAATAAATGTTCGATATAGCTCTGAGCAAGTCGCAATGTTTCGATTTTTGATAATTTTCGTGTTTTCGGCTCAGTTGGAATCAATTGCCTCAAAGATACAAACGCTGAATTGACACTAGAAATAAAAAACGAATCGTTAGAAACGTGAAAATCAAAATTTTCAAAAGATGTAAAACAAACCTATGTGTGCGATGTCGTTCGCGAGCATTTGCATGATGTCGAACCACTGGTGTTTGTGTGAGATATGCATCATTGCTGTTTCTCTCAATTGAACCGGGTTTCATTTCTCTAGAAATAAAATTTTCTCTCTCTACAAATTCACTTTCAACTTCGTTGACTTAACGAATGCAACTAAATCCCACAGTCAATTTCAAGTGTGTTGCGAGTCGTTTTTCAGTTTAGAAAGAAAAAACAACAAAAATGCATTCAATAAGAACAAATTGCCTTTTTGCTTCATTGATGACATGCTGAAAGCATAAATTTTAGTGTAATAATTTATCAGCTTCCTTTTGATCTCTGAACTGATGTGGTAATTTATCTGATTGTCGGTTTAATTGCTGCGCGCTCGTCTACATTTGGCAAAGTGATTATCGAGAAAGCAGCGTACGCGCTCGAGAACAAGTGCGAGTGATATGGGACGAGTGAAACGATGAGTCAAACGAACGCGAGAAAAAATATTAAACAGCAATTCATCCAATATATCGAATGACAGGCGGCTCTTTGTTAATTTTTATTGCTGCCTGTTATCTCAATTTGTTTTAATGATGCTTAATTTCGAGAATTATTTAACAGCGGAAAAAAACCTTGTTTAGCCATTGGATTACTGGAAGTTTACAGAGTTCAATATATGGTGAATAAATTGAGAATTACAAAAACAGCTGTCAATATTATGACAACGATGCATGCACATGCACACACCAAACACATGTGGATGATGAAGTCGATTGTGTGTCAGTGGATTTAAGTGACATGAATCGAACGTGTTGACTTTTGGTGCACGTGTTCGAATGACACTGAAGTTTATGGAGTGAAACACAGGAATTGAGATTATTCGAATTGGGTTGGGAAAAGACAGGAAATGCTTTGATTTATGGTCACTTTCAGTTTTTATTTATCTTCATATGAATCGTTTCAGCTATATCTTAACCCTCTAATGCATATATTTTATACAGAGCTGGGAATTTTTTTCCATGCTTATTTTACCTCATAAGCACTTAAAAAAATATTCATAATCTGGTATAATGCTGGAATTATCAATAAATCGCAAAAATCAAAATGGTCTTATAAGTACAGTCATGCATTTACGACCAATATGGAAATTGCGAAGTATATGAACAAACCGAATTTGCATAGCTGTACTTATAAGAACAGCTTGCAAATTGAGTGATGTTGACATCGGAATTCGTGAATATCATTTTTTCTGGATTATTTGTGATAAAAATAGGTTAAAATAAAATGAAAATAAAATTCCACACTAAACCAAGCACACAAAATATCAAACAAAAAGAAATCCAAATTGCATGGCTGTACTTATAAGAACAGTATGCAAATTGACGGACAAATGTTGCACAATTGTAAAAAATCATTGAACTTGAATTGAATTTGGTTAAAAACACTCCAAATAAGCAGAAAAAAAATTCCTGAGGTCAACAAAATAATTTTATTCGATTTAATCACGTTTCAAAAACAGGACACGAAACGAAAATAATTTATTTTTACGGAAACGTCGTTTTCTTGTACAAATGTTTTCATAACTTGACACTGGTTGACCGCACACAAAATTTTTATGAGAAAGAAATGTGCGCTAGTGTTCTCCAACGAAAACTGTCATACATTATTTTGTGATATAATCAATGATTCGCATTATAGAAAGGTTTAAATGAACCAACCTTATAAGTTCACGTATGCACTAGAGGGTTAAAATAAGATGTTAACACATTAGAATTTTCTTTAGTTTTTATTTCATTCAGTGGGAAAAATCAAGGCTAGAATTGAAATTTTTTTTGCCAGTTTCACTATTTTGTAATGTACATTGAATTTAGATAAACTCAGTCTTGTTTGCTGAATTGTCATAAGAAACGGAAATATTGTCCTTCAAATTTCACTGAAAGTTTAAAAAAATTGTTTTTTTATATGTTTTTTTTTTACAGAAGATGATATGTCAATCCAACACATTACAGTTTAAATTTAAATAATCTAATTCATAAATTATGTGGTAGAAATAGATAATGGCCCAAACAAACCAAAGTTGATAAGATGTAAGACGCATTTTTAGCACTATTATTTGGAGAAAAAAATTCAATTAATCAATCGTTAATTTTATTTTGTGTTTTTTTTGATCTGACGAATATCATGAAGTTGTCACGACAGAAGATAAATATGTATGAAAATTTTAGTGTCGATGAGGTGCCTCTATCTTGAAGATCAGTATTACTGATAGTATCTTCGTTACATCACAGCCCCATTCACAAAAAGGCAATGAACAACACAAGTGCTCTAGCGCACTCTAGCGCACTCTTGTAAACCACTACTCGTTTTCTCCGTGACTTGGTGCGCTTCAGTCCAGTCTGATTGATATATTCTTCATTGCATCTTTCTGTCTGCTTAAATAATGCTGGAGCAACAGTCTGCGTTGTTCTTTCCGGTTATCGTGTTAAATAGTCATATTTGCCGATTTATCACTCTCCAGAAAACTCGCCGATTTTATTATATCTAGTGCATTCGTTTTGATTTGCTGCTCACAAAATTGGACCAGTTTCTCTTGCTCAAGCAGCAAAGCGATGCTATAGCCGACGCACATGTCATCGATAGTTAATGATTTTAGCAATGTGGTTTCACAAGTCTTCATGCACTCGTCCATTTCGTACATTTTACACAAATTCATCACATGAACGATATTTTCGGCAGTAAGTCGCACTTGATCCAAGTAGAAAAATTGCAAAAACTCCATGAATACAGCGGCACTTACGTCTTTAATCGGAATATCGCCTGTTTCCTTCACTGGGCCATAGAACATCGCATTAAACACTGGATTGTCAATCGATAATATATTCTTGTGCGCTGGTACCTTTTCACAATCTTCAGTATCAGCATTAAATACAAAATTCACATCGGACGTCTTTGAATCCAAATATAATCTGCTGATTTTTCTCACGTAGGTGTTATTGTACACAAATATAGATTTTTCGCTCATCGTTTCTGTTTTTTTGTTGTTCGGAATGTGAAAAATATGACCAAAATTACTGAACACTTTTTGATGCGCACCTCGCTAGACCTCGCTGATAATAAGCGATTTTTTTACTTGAAAATTTCAAGTTGAAATCAATTTTAAACATTGTTTATGTAGTAAATCGGCCGATTATCGATTAAATAACGAATGAACGACGTCAGCAATGCCTTCTATGGGGTAATAATCAGAGCTGTTCCAGCTTTGAATTGATGCGTTGATGTTTTTTTTTTCAGAATTGTATTTTTTCTGATTATTTTTATTCGTTCGATTTTTACCGAACCTAAAATTTAATTTGTTGAGTGTTGAATCTCTAGTTGCTCTACAACCATTTGAAAGAATCCTTCAGATGACCAGAAAATACGTAAAAATAAGAAAAGAAGAAGAAAATTCTGTGCTGATTTAGAGACAATCACAGATAAAAGTCATAAATTTCAACTTCGGTAAGATATATTTCGGGTGTGACTTGACTCGTGATGTATCAAAGTCTATAATTTGTACCTATTTTCCATTTGATTTTTAGTCCTCTAAATCTTTGCCATCCGTTTGCAATTGATTTGAGCCAATTGTTTGAGAGCGAGAAAAAGATGTGGTAAAGTAATTAAATTACTTTCGATACCGCCATAAAATTGCCACAATACCGGTGTTGTATTGATGTGGTGTGTAATTAAAAATGAGCACGCAATTCCGAGTCAGTAAATCAGACTAATTCCAGTTGATAGTTAATTTGCAGCTGCAGTTTGTAGTAATTTCATTAACAACTTTCAACCGAAACCATGTAATTCGACGGGAATGCGGCTGACATGCGATTCGTTCCATCCTTCTACTGATCCTTTATTCCGTACATTCCTTTTGAGCGCCACTCCTTTTGTTCATTCCACTTGGCTCACACATGAATTCGGTATCTGTGCCACACAATATATATGTTTAAAATGTGGGTTTCGAAAGTAATCTAAAAAGGGTGTCGGTTATGGTGGCATGAGCAGACACTAAACGACAGTGTAATAGTCTCTCAAACATCGAAATTAAAAGAAATGCATTCGAGCAAAAAAAAACAACCAAACCGAAGAATTATTTCCCCAATAAAGAAAGACAAAGTAGAACACGCGTTTCAATAAGAGAGAAGAAGAACCGGCGGAAATTGGTAAAAGTCGATTGAAATGAGGACGATGAAGTCTTCGGATCGACTGGTGGATGAAATAAATTGGATATGCCCCGAAGGAATTGGATCGTTCACACAACCATTTTCACGTTCCTTTGCACTCAATACACCTTTGAGCAGTTTCATCGTACGGCACATACACAGCACGTTGGTTGTTTTCCCATCGATATCCACAAAAGAGATGTTTTCATCGCTTTGCTGTGTTTTTTTCTCACTGAAATAATAAACGAAATGCATTTTTTTTTCAAGCATGTGAATGTGTACGTACGTAGTTTAAGTGAATTTTTCTACTCATTTTCCAAAAAGTCGTGATCAGGAGTTTGTGCTGGAATCAAAATGACTTTTGGAATTTTCTTGTAAAATTCTTCTATTTCTTTATTCAAGTACACTCATTGTGAAAAGTGTTCACTTATAGAACACGGTTCTCTCTCTCTCTCTCTCTCTCTCTCTCTCTCTCTCTCTCTCTCTCT